CCATATGATAAGTATAGCATAGATTTACCATAGAGCAACTTGAAACTTTAGTAATACTTGGGAGCAAAATTCAAATCCAACATATTTACACATTTTTGCTTTGGTTTGGTTTTGATTAAATCTCCTATCACGCAGTAGCTGACAAACCTACCAGCTATAGAATGAAAAACACCTCAGGATGCTTTTCACTGAAGACAGAGTTGTACACGGGCTGAAGAATGAGGGTGGAGCCGGGAGGAAAGGCATAGATAGCAGCTGAGGAGCAGTGTGGCTGACGCCAGTGTCAGGGCCAAGGTATGGCTGTGCGAGCAGCAGGGCATTCTCTGCAGCTCCAGCTCCAGCTAAGCTCCTACTAACTTAGGTTGTCATTTGTCAACCAAACTGACACTGACAGCAGTGCTGGGTCTGCTTTTGAAGAGGATCTGTACAGCCACCATTTATAAGAATACATCCCCTGAGATTAAAAAGGAAGAAGTAGAGCATTTACAAGGGCAAGTTATTGAAAGTGATTAGTTTCATACAAAAAGCAGAAATATCAAAAATTCTTCCATAGCCCCACCCCCTTGCATGCCATCGATCAAAACAGGTGATACTTTAGTAAGACATTTCAGGATGAATGCATTCTTTGCAGCTGTTGAACAAGTGTGCCTACCCTACCAGTACTGAATACTGAGCATAAAACCTCAAGAAGGTAACTTCCTCATTGTGTTGTCACAGCAGCATACTTAAGAAATGATTTAGAAAGCAAAGTATTACAGGACCGCATGACTCATATTTATGGCTATAGTGCATTTGTTTTATGGTTTTGTTTTGTGTTTGGGTTTTGCTGTTGTGTGGTTTGTTTTTTGTGTTGCTTTTTGTTTGTTTTGTTTTTTTGGGTTTTTTTTGTTTTGTTTTGGTCTATTATCTCATCATGTGGGAGGCTTAAGCAGGAAGATCAAGAGTTCATTGCTAGAGGAGATTCTACATCAGTCAGGATTACAGGCTGAGACCCTTCCAACCATACCCTAAAATCAAGGCTGATATCATTCACAATCTTAGAGGGCTTTTTTGATTTTTTTATATACATTTTTAACACAATTACAGAGTTCTTGCCTTTCACAGTTATAGAGTTGTGTTTGTTTGTGTTGTTGCTTTAGGGTGCTAGGCATCATACTCAGACAGGAATTGCAGCTTGTCTTCCTAAGATACCAAGGGTTGCCTTACTGTTAAGAGAAGCAAAAACCCTGAGAAAATAAAAGCTGCTCTCAAGCCTCCCACAGTTCAGAAGCATCTCTGACTCTGGCTGGTGTATGGCTGTGAACCTGACCCTGCTGGAACACAGTTAGCAGCACGCTGGCTTTGGCTACCTTTGTGCAGACTTTGTTTCCCTTTGAGTTTTACTCTCTCAGCTAAATCTCTTGTACAATTTGTTTGTCCTCAGAACTGAGTTTTCTTTAGTCAGGTCTCCACACTAGGTATGAAATAGGCCTGTTAGGAAAATTGTCTGTGTCTGTGTCAGAGGCCAGAGGCTAACATGTGGAAGTTGGTTCTTTCCTTCTACCGTGCACAGTATCATAGGGATCAAACCAGGTCACCAGGCGTGATGGCAAGTGCCTTTACCCACGGAGACATCTCGCCTACCCATGTCTGATTTCTAATCTTGAGTCTACTGGTTTTGTGACCGTATTTGCTTAACCTCTCTGGTTTTCATCTTTTCTGTAGGTTGTATGTCAAGCTCACAACAGCCTCCCTTATCCCAGTGGTGCTTCTCTGACACGCGTGCTTGCTCTTTTACTGTTACATGCCTGTCACTCTCCCGTTTGTTTTGCTCCCCACTCTTCTGACACTTGGCCTTCTTGGTTAGTTTGCTGTTTGATTGAAGCTGAATACCTGTTCCAAGATGCCTTCATTCAGTATGCACTGGTAGGTGACTCCAGTGGTGAGGCTCTGGCTAGACTTGACAAGTGCTTCCAAATGAATAGAGGAGTCCCTCAAAAGAAGCAGCTAGCCATCATGAAGACTTCTGTAATGTAAGTGTTTAGAGCACTAGTTCCCAACATGTGGGTCATGACCCATTTGGCAAATCTCTATCTCTAAAAGTGTTTACATTATGATTCATAACAGTAGCAAAATTGCAGCTGTGAAGTAGCAATGAAAATAATTTTATGGTTGGGGTCACCACAGCATGAGGAACTGTATTAAAGGGTCTCAGCATCAGGAAGGTTGAGAACCACTGGTCTAGACAAAGCAACTATGGAAACATATGAAGGGCTTTCACCTTGTTCAGTAGGCCAAGAAGGAGGCTAGATTTAAAATAAGGCCCAGAATGCATCCTTGGTTCCTTGGTGAAGAAAAGAAGACCATATTAAGCAAAAGGAGCTTTCACTGTCTGCTGTAACAGTGAGTAGAGGGTTCTAGCCAGGCCTGGAAAGTGGAGACAGGAAGATTTGCAAGCTTAAGGTTTGCCCAAGCTACAGAACAAGTTTATAGTCACCCAGGGCAACCTAACTGTCTCAAACCAAAAAGTTAAAGAAAAAAAAAGTGTGTATGTGAGGGGGATAGCTCAGTGATGGAGCCCTAGCCTGATATGTGAGGGCTTAGGTTCAGTTTACTATGCTGGGGGCAGGGTTCTTCTTTATGCGTGTACAGTTTGCATGTAAAAATGAGAGCCAAACATGGGTAGCACAGAGCTGAGAACACATCATGTCATGTGCTGATGCTCACCTTGTGCCTTAGACTCTGGATGCTCTGCTCTAACGCTCGGCTTTACACATTCACACTCCTCTTATAGCTGACAAAACTGAATCAGTCAACTTCTTCTGATCCAGGATCTCTCCTTCCTTTGCCTTCATTCTAGGATGGAGCAAGAACTGCTATGTGAACAGTGTACTAGGTTTCTGCCTTCAGTAACAACTGACTGTTGAGTGCCATAGAGAGGCAAATCAGAACAGTTTAAAGTTTGCTTTATTCACTTAGAGAGTTGAGTGATTGAAGTAGCTGAGTCTGTAGTCACTTTTAATTTGTGATCTCTTCTTAGGCTCCTCCCATCTAGGTGGTTCATACCTGCCGCGTGTCATTCTTTGTGACCAGCCATAAGCTATGCAACACAGCAGGGTAGTTTAATGAATTGGTTTCAAAGGCCTAGCTATTAAGATTGCTTCTGGGGCAGGAAGTGTCTGGAAAGAAGTATGAGGGGACATTTGGTGATAGTGTCGTATTGCACGCTTCTACAGGATTAAGGTGGTGGAGGTACACTTAGCTTTCTTTTAAAATCAATGAATAGATAGAGGAGTGATGTGACTGGTACTATACAGGGCTTGGACAGACCCTAAGCAATGTCTGTATGGTGCTTGGTGTAAAATTCTTCAAATTTGCTGTATGCTTCAACTTTTATAATGAAATTGTAAATGATTAATTAAAACATAAGAGACTAGAGAAATGACTCCAGCTCTAGGGATTCAGATACCTTTCCTCTACAGGCACTTGCACACATGTGTACATACACATGGACACACACACACACAGAAATAAAATTAAAAATTTTAATAAGCTGTTTTTTGGATACTCACTTTAATTTCCTGTCAGTGTCCTTGATGAAGATTCTTGTTAATGCAGCTCCAGCCCAGAGGCCATCCTGAGTTGGTCTAACAAGCATCATCAGTTTCTAAAGACAGGACCCCTGACTTAGCTGCCTCCTGGAGGCGGGGGCTGAGGAGGGGGGTGCAGGGGGTGGAGGTTCCTTCCTTCCCCTGGGTATTTTAAATTAGACCGAGAGTCTCACAGAGCTGGAACTTGCCAGACAAAAATTTTAGTCACTAATACCATACTTGTGGAGGTAATGTCACATGAGCAGGGATTCAATTCGCTCCCTCCCCTGTATGTCTTCAACTAGATGACATTTATTGACAAGGAAAATGCCCTGGTTTTGGTGGTGTGTTCTGTTTTCAGTCTACCACACATTTAAAGTGCATTTATTTAACAAATGAAGCTTCAGGCTTTCAGGACTCAAGTTGAGTTTCTTTTCCTAAAAAATGCCATCTTTTTCTTTTAACTTTCATGATAACTAGTCATAACCATTTAATGTACTGAAAATAGGATTTATTTTATACAGGAAAATATAGTACAGCAATTTTTTACAAAGATTTAAATGACAAATATTTCTGATAAAATTGAAATTGAAAGGCAGAGAGAGGGAACAGATTAACTTTTTGAGTTGCATGGTTCCTTACTATGGTTGTTAAGCCCTCTGCCACTCAATAAGAGTGTTTTTACTTAAAATCCACAAAGCTGATGAGCAAAAGAAAAGAAAATTTTCACTCCTTGACCATTACCCTAGAAGATTGGATCTATAAATATATGTGAATCTTTGAAATAGACAGGTATATGTGTATGTCAGATAATGTCTGAACTAACTAGAAAAACTTGCTGTACTTCATGATTGTGGTGTGAGTACCATTGCCTGATGGCTTTTACATGAAATGTTTGGTGTGTGTGTGTGTGTGTGTACATGTTTAAAAAAGTATTAGCTTTATTTAACATCCTAGGGCATGTGGGTTCCCAAGAATGCCATACCTTGTCTATGCCAATAAAACAGTGTCTGTTCTTGTTACTGAATCTGATGCCATTGGCAGAGTTTCCTTTCTATTGGAAGGGTAATATTCAGAAATGAGATTTTTTAAAAATATATTTCTTCTCTCTGTGATTTGGGTGTTTTTGAGTTTTTAGAACTATGAAATAATACCGACAAGCTCCAAGAAAACCAAGTCTGGATTTCATTTTGTCTCTTCAACTCTGTGTGATCTTGTGCACATTCCTGACATGTTACAAACAGCTTGTGTCTCTGAATGTGCAGGATCAGTTTTCAGTGGTGAAAGCCCCAAAAGGAAACAGACTGATTCCTCCATGCACAAACAGCTGGGCAGTTGTGGATGGAATTAATTGCTGATATGTATTGGCTGTGTTTTTCTTCTCCTGTCATTTCCTTTGCAGCTGTGAAAGTGAATTTTGACTTGAAAACAGACATTCCCAGCAGTGCAAATCCAAAGAGTATCAAGACAAGATTCTTCTAATTAATACCCAGCTGGCACCTTTGAGTTGTTCAGTGTTGGGGTGAGATGAGCAAGAACAAAGGATGGCAGCAGGTGATTCATAATTAATGTATGGTGGAAAATAATTAAACCAGGCACTTGCACTGCAAAAGGAATTTTTGGAATGGTTACTTTTTCATTTGTCAGGATGACCTCATAATCTATGAAAGGCTAGATTAATGGGTACTGCCTTTATAAGGTCCTTAAAGAGGGTGTTTCTGGCCACCTCTCAGAATTGTAAGATGCCCAGTATTCCATCGAGATTTATTCTTTCAATATGAGGGGTAGCAGTTACTGAGAATAATATGATGATATTTACCATTAAACGTATTTTACTGATTTTCTCTCAAAACCTTTTCTGTTTGTTTTACATTATATGTAAGCAATCCATGACAATTTAGAAAAACCTGCTTAGCTAAGTGGTGGTGGCATATACCTTTAATCCCAGCATTTAGGAGGCAGAGGCAGTTGTATCTCTGGGTTCAAGGCCAGCCTAGTATAGAGAGTGAGTTCCAGGACAGCCAAGGCTACGTAGAGAAATCCTTCTTGAAAAAAATGAAACAAATAAAAAACAAAGAAAAACATGCTTGGATAGTTAAATCAGATAAACCCATTTAGTTTTATGATTATAGAATTTGAATGAAAATTTAACTTGCATTTCTGAATGTGCAAATGCAAAAAGTGGCATTTATTAAAAATAACTTTAAATAGCTACTGTGTATTGATAAATTTAATATCTAAAAACTAAACATAAATTTTTATATAGTACTTGTTTGTATTCTATAGAATCTTATTTAGAAAAAAAGTTATGCAAGTTTTTTGTTTTGTTTTTTTGAGACACAGTTTCTCTGTGTAGCTTTGGAGCCTATCCTGGCACTGGGTCTATAGACCAGGCTGGTCTTGAACTCACAGAGATCCGTTTGCCTCTGCCTCCCGAGTGCTGGGATTAAAGGCATGCGCCGGCTATACAAAAAATTCTAAACTAAAATTCTTATAAAATTTGTAAGTAGATGATTGTAACATTTTTTTAAATGTAATGCATATTAGTGATCCCCATCAAAATATATATATATTATGGGGGGGGGGGCTTGCACATGTGCTGGGGCTCATGTGCTGAGGTCTGGTGACAACTTGTAAGAGTCAGTTACCTCTTTCTACCGTGTGTGTTCCAGGAATCGAACTAAGGTCATCAATCAGGCTTATTAGCAGCAAATGACTTCACCCACAGAGCCATCTACTCATCCTGACATCTTTGTTTTGAAGGCAACTCTTGCTAATTGGAATTGTAATGCTTTCATTTTCTTCTGTGTTGCTAAAAGTAGAGGATCTGTGAGGAAGGAAAAGTGGATAGTTTGTGTTCCTGTTCCAGCCCCCTAAAGTGATATTCTAAAGCAAGCTGTGTTTCTGACACCTTGAGATGTGTAGAAACTGCAGTTGCTAAACTTAGAAGCTAGCATGGCTGGACTTCCTTTACAGTGGTCCACTTCTACCTCCCCCTGTGTGCTTGAGCAGTGTGGGCTGCCAGATGATTCTCTCTCTTCTCAAACAGGAATGAGCCTGCGTTCATGCTTCGGCAGGAAAGCTGATCTACAAACAGCAGTTTTCCTCTGTTACTTTGAGAGGAATTAACCAATGCGTTTTAACTCTGAGGCCCTGGAAAATGCTGTGGCAGTATTAATGTGCAGTTTGCTCTGCGTGAAATCTGTCTGGGTGTGTTGTTTCCCCCAGAGTGGGCCCCACCCTGCACTAACCACACTGTGTAGATATCTTGCTGTTTGAAACAAAGATCATTTTTAGGGCAGCATTGCATCAGAATTGCCACATGAAAACGAGAGGCTTCAAGGGTTTTGTAAGTAGTGGGGTTTGTATTGTAATAGCTATGGCTACCAGCCGTAGGAGGAAACAAAGCTGAGATAGATGGTCAATTTTGTGTCAGTTACAACTAGCATGCAGTACTTGTCTTTGGGAGTTAGCTGTGGCTTCTCACTCAACTGATTATTTTCTTTTAGGTCATTTGTCTGCTTTTTATTTTCTCATACTATTTATTTACTTGTTCTTATTTTTAACTGTTTTGGGTGTCATTGGCTGTTTAATGGAAGGGAAATACCAGTGATCTCCCAGAGTGCTAATATTCTAACATTAAAGTGTTTAAAGAGGGTTTTGTATTGGATTTTTTAGTCACTTTTATAGCATAATTGGGTAGTACTGCATTTCGAGACATCGTGGCATGAACTCTGTGTGTAAGAGTGGGTTCATTGAATTAAAAAAGGCAGCCTCTAAAGGGCCTTTCTTTCTGTCATAATGATGCTTTGTCCTGCTGCTGTTGGGTATTTGTTGGAAGAGTTGGGGCAGGCTGCAGCCCAAAGTTGTGTTCCATGCCTGGGCAGTTCTGTCGGTTCCGTGCCTCTGTGTTCTCAGAATTTGTGACGTGCATGGTAAGTTGAAGTATAGGAGAATTGTTGTTCAATGACGTCTGTGCTGAACATTTTTCATCCTCTCTCCTCAGATGTCTGGGTTCTGTTTGTAGCTGGACTTTAAATGTCTCTAAAGTGTTCAGTTAGGCACTAGCCAACATGGGCATGTTGAGAGAGGTCGAGATTTGTGATTTGTTCTCTGTGTTATTTGTTCATTGTGTGCTCTTTCAGGGGTAGACACACCCATTCAGTGCAAGCAAGTTTAACAGCCTGCCTCAGTGGAAATCATAATTGAATGTTGAAACTGGCGGATTTCTGTAAAGCTTTTGGGGTGACATTGTGTCATCTTTTTTGTTCTTAAACTTCCTGGCCATCATTGCCTTGCTTCATCTTCCTCTCTGTTGCTTGTTTTTAAGGTAGCTGTCCCTGACATCACAAGAAGGTAAGAATAAAGTAAAAGTCTGATATCACTGAAGAATGCCATCAAGACAAGTTTAGTTTGGACATTATTTTCTTTACCTATAAAATTAGGAATTCAGGTTAGCACTCTTATATTTTCCAGATTACAATACCCTATACCTCTTTGTAACAATACATATTTGTCCAGAAACCTCGATAGAGAATGTATGAGAACTGAGCAAATATTACTTAGCTTGTTTAGATTGTTTTCTTATAAATGGCAAGCAAACCAAAGCTGTGCTTTAGACATACCTGCAGGAATGTCAGACATTTGGTTTCTAGTGTCTGGTGTGTAGATCTGTCTGTATGTCACCTCATCAAGAAAATGGATTCCTGGTGGAAATGAGGCTAGACTGTGTGGTGTGGCTGTCCACCTGCCTGAACATCCTCGGTGCTCAGCATGCAGCTCTTATCTGTGCGGACTTTAAGTAGCTTTTAAACTCCTGCCCGCAAAATGTTTTGCATCAGGACCCAACCCACACATGTATCACTCAACCTTGGAAGTAAATTTGTCATGTGATACAGAAAACAGCCTACTGTTTTCTGTTTGATTTTGAAATATGTCAGCTTCAGTTTACTGAACAACTCTGCAGTAGGAAAAGAGAATTGCCAGAGCACAATTTGACACCCAGTTTGTTGTTAAATGTTTAATTAGATTATTTTAAAATTAGTTTTTATTTGGAACTTTCATTTAAAAATCAGTAGTTCATATCTCTATTAATACTCTTATCTTTCTTATGATAATTACATAATACAAAAATAGTAGCTATTTTTTACCATGCTTCCCAAACCCTTTGTTTGCTCTAAGAACGCTAAACAAATTTCTTCTCATCCATGTCATGCCTTATTCCTGAAGACTGATAGACATACTGTGACATGAAAGGGTTGTGAAGGCTTTCTAGAGAAGTGGCTATAATGTAAGTAGGGCTAGGTGTAAACTGTCAGATTCCCAGGATGAATCAACCCTTCCTTCACCTTCCTTACCAGGGCGTTGCTGCCCAGGGCTTTATACATCCTTTCTTTGCTTTAATGTACATTTCTTGTTGTTGTTGCTATTTATCATTGTTCGTGCATACCTTGAATATTTTTATATTGACCAAATTTTGCAATTACAGTGTTCCTTTAAAGAGATAATGCACATATAAAAAGGTGAAAATATAAAAGACTGTGTGACAAAATGTCTCTTTACCACCCTAGTTTAACTTTATTCCCCAAAGGGTGTGTGCATGTGTAATATGTCTGTGTGTACTTAAATGTCTGAATATGTCTGTATATACTCATACTTGGGTGACTTTAAACTGCATGTGAAGTGAAGCCTCTCCTGCTGTGTGTGCTTACCTCACTTCCTGAGGAGCTGTCTAGTGAGTGCTGTGCACTGCCTCAGTGTGTGCTCACATGGGCAGCCTATCTGCTGCTCTTACTTTGATGGGTGTCTGGATTATTTCCAAGTTGCTTCCCATGTATCCCTCATTGGTTGTGCTTTTGCTATCAGAGCCCATGGGCTGTTGTGAAGGATGGCAGTGTTTCATGAGAGCAGAAATCCCTCACTCACCTTCCCTCATCTGATCAATCAAGAGTAGGCCTCCTACTCAGCCACACATGAGAGGGCAAGAACTGCTCCAGAGGGGAATGATTTCCAGCACAATAGTGAAAGAATGTTGGACTTGAAGCCGGGTAACTTGACTATGAGATCATGGGATTGCAGGCAGGTCACTTAACTTCTTTTTATCCCTTTTCATCATCTGAAGATTGAAAGATTGGATACATGAGTTTTAATGTTCCTCCCAGCTTCAGGATTCATATAGTTTTCTTGTTGGAACAGTGGTTTAACTTACATGAGCCAAATTATATAAGGGGTGTGTGTGTGTGTGTGTGTGTGTGTAGAGAGAGATAGCGAAAGAGAGAAAGAGACAGAGAGAGATAGAGAGAGAGAGAGAGAGAGAGAGAGAGAGAGAGAGAGAGAGAGAGAGAGAGAGTTGGGATATAATTGATTTGACATGCCATATGGCCTATTTGAAAGTTTAAAGGGGTAAAAGAGAGTATTTGAATATTATTCTAAATTTTTACAGAAACTGCCCTTTTCTGATGGTTCTTTTTCAATAATATAAAACCCATTCCAGAAGTAAGACCAAATCTTTGGATCAAGCTTTAATAGTTGGAGGGGAAAAAAAAAAGCAAGGG